AGCATGAAGCAAAGTCCTAATTGTTTACGAAGTTTGTGATGCTTTCTTCCAGGGTCTTGGGATGCCCAGAAACCAGTTTTCAGAGCTAGTGGAATTTGAGCAGAAATGGCTGTGGGTTTTGGGCTGGATTCAATACATCTGAGACCTGGAGATTCTCCATCCCATTCCCCATGCTCACCACTCACCCCAAAGGTGTGATGGGGTTCTGAAACAAAAAAAAAAAAAAATAACAGCTACCAGCTACAAATTTTGCAAATGTGATTTTTCTTCTTGAACTGAATCAAGCAAAAATCTTTGACAGTGAAGTCCAGAGAGCAATGTAGTGCGTCAGGCCTTTCTCTGGTTTTGCCAAGTCTTACATAAATGAGACTACGTATTTCTCTGGCAGTCTCCCCTGAGATTATGTCTTTTTTCCCCTGCAGCTGGAATCTCCCCACAGAAGTCAACCTCAGCACTGAGAAGTGCTTATCCAGTGTGATTTGGGAGACAAAAAGATAACTTGACATGAAAAATTTCTGACTGCCTCAGGGGAACTGAAGGAGGATAGGAATGTTCCCTCCATGGGAGGCTTGGACATCCTGGCAGAAGATAGAAAGAGAGAAAGGGAGGATAATTAAAATAGTTTCTCTGCAGATTCACTGAATCATGACAATTCATAACTAGAGACACTGTAGGAGGGACATGAAGATTTACTGGATCAAGGAGCTTCTTATAAAAGAGGAACAAATTAAGAATATTTAGCATGAAAATTAACACTGGAAGCTAAGATTAATACTGACCCAGATACAGATAGAAAGCTACTCCCTGACTAAAGTAAAATAATTATTGGCAGGAGGAGACTCCTTGATTCTAGACATCTAGATTTAGTTAAGAAGTAATAATGATACTTGGAGAGCAGAATGATAGCAGGAGGGGCAGAATGAGGGCCTAATCAGACATGAATGCATTATACAGGAAGAGAAGTGTAGGTCATACAGTACTACCACAGATAGACAGAAAAGCAGCATGGCCAGACCAACAGAAACCCTTTGGGTGCAGCAAGCACCAGAGATGAGCCAGAGGTGCTGGCTGGTCCTCAGAGCCATGCTGATCCAGTCAGACAGCTTTCAGACTGTGTTTGCCAGCCCAACAGCAGCAAATGAGTGATTCACGATCTATCTGACAAAACACCTTCATAGAGATATGCCCTTTTCCTCTACTGCAGGAACCATGGTGGAGCCTGGCTCTCTTGGGTACACTCTTGGGTCGCAGCTCATTGCAATAACAAATGTCACAGTGAGGAGCACAGCATGACAGAAACGAGGCCTGAGAGGCAATCACTGATTTTTGCCCAGTATAACCTTCCACACTACCACAGGTGTATCATTACAGTACTGGATATGCTTGTGAAAACAAAGCCCTCCCTCAAGCCAGGAGTGATGAACATACAGGGGAGCCTGGCAAGTGTCTTTGGGGGTCTGTTAGGCCCCTGAACATTCCCTAGCTGCCATAACCAGTGTTATGTCCATGACAGTCCCCTGACCACCTGTCTTTTCATTGTATTGGAGGTGTGGATGTTACCACACTGTTACACTGAGCTAAGCCTACATGTGTGCTTATTTAATGGTGATTCTTGTCACCAGTCTGTACCGCCTTTTTGGACAAATTATCTCAGAAAAATGCTTGTCCCCAGGAACCATAGCAAATACATCCTTTGAAGATGACAGAAGATAATCATCTCCATTAAGGGATGAATTTGAAAACAGCACAGATAGGACTCAACCTACTCTTTAATGCTTTAAACAAATTTCTTTCATTACAATCAATCCTGTCTCTAATTTCCAGAACTTTGAGGAAGCCAAACACTGCCTTTATCATTACTGTGTCATCAAATTTATTGTATGAGCTGTTTTGGACTCACATCCACTACTTTCTTTCACACACCTAAGATTTCCAGTCCCACCTGTTAAGACACTATCTGTCAAAAAATGCCAGTAATCACTGCTTGAGACTAGTGGTCAAAGCATCAAATGTTTTAAGTTTTCCAGCACCTCAATTTTGCTTGATGTGCAAATTCTCAGTGTGTCTTCACTGCTTTTTCTGTAATAAGTTAATCTAGCAGCTTCAGCTGGCTCAGATGTCAGTCATGGGTGGGGGGGTCACTGTGGGCTGAAACACCTCCCACCACACTTTGAGAAAAAAGGCAAACGCTTACAGTTTTCTCAGCATTTACTGAGCTCTCTGCTACCACCAGCTAAGTAAGCTATTTTAAAACTAGCTTAGGTAAAACTACATGGTTCTGCAGTGATGAAATGCCCTCTGTCATTTCCTATTAAAAAATGCATGACCCCCTTTCTTCATTACACAGAGCTTTAGCATATAGTAGATATTTCCACTCTAATAACACCCAAAGGGTTGAACATATTTATATGTACATATAGGTGCTTCCAACAGCTCTGCATTTTCTTGTAGCCTTTTCTCTTTAAGCAAGTCTCTGGTCATTCAGCTGTGAAATTAAAGAAACAGGGGACACTGTTGTGAGCTCTACTTTCTTCTTCCACTTGTGAAGGAATCTTAATAATGTTCAGTTTATGGCTGTCTATATTAAATAGAGAGTGCAAAATGCTGTAGCTTAAGATAAAGAGACAAGCTTCTGCAGCTGATGGCTGGAACAGTTAATTTTCTCTCTTGAATTAATCCAGAGAAATATGTACAACATGTCCGTGAAATGTCCTACAGTCTTCTTACTGAATCACAGAAATCTGATAGTGTTGCCTCTATTTGTGGTGGCTGTGCTTTCCTTGATTTTGATACCCTCTTCTTCCTCTGACTTTGGACTGCATACCTTTCAGGTAAGTACTAGGTAAAACAGAACTGTTCGTCATTCTGGAAGTGCCTCTTCTAATTTAAGGGCGAGATTCAGCTCATAGATGAAGATACTGAAATTTCAACGTCTACTATACAGACATACCTACCATAGCTTCTCTGCTGTATCTGTCAGCTCTTTACATGCTTTCAACACACTGTGGCAGCTGCCATCGGATGCGCATAATAAAGGAACTTACCTACACCTCTGTGCTTGCTTTGGCTGGAGTAGAGTTAATTTTCTTCACAGTGGCTGTTATGGGGCCATATTTTAGATGTGTGTTAAAAGCAACATTGATAATATAGAGATGTCTTTGTTATTGCTGAGCAGGGCTTACACAGTCAAGCCTTTTCTGCTTTTCATACTGCCACACTGGTGAGGAGGCTGGGGGTTCATGGGAAGCTGGGAGGAGACACAGCTGGGATAGGTGATCCCAACTGAGCAAAAGGATATTCCAGACCATATAATATTATGCTTAATATGTAAAGTGAGGGGAAGAAGGGGAAGTTTAGAGTTATGGGGAACAAGGGAGGAAAAGTTTGGAGTTATGGTGTTTGTCTTCCCATTTTACTGTTATGCACCATGAGGTCCTGCTTTCCTGGAGATGGCTGAACACCTGCCTGCCCACTGGAAGTGGTGAATGAATTCCTTGTTTTGCTTTGCTTGTGTGTGCAGCTCTTGCTTCCCCTATTAAATTATCTTTAGCTCAACCCACGAGTTCTCTCACTTTTCCTCTTTTGATTCTCTCCTTGATCCTGCTGGTGGGGCAGTGAGTGAGCAGCTGTGTGGTGCTGAGAGGCTGGTTGTTAAACTATGACAATTCTTAATAACCCAGGCACCAATGCAATTTATATTGCTTCAAAATAAGCATCTGATTCATGTGAGTTGCTCATCTGAACTGCCTACTCTTTGCCACTGACTCTAAAGTATAATTCACTCAGGTATTTAGCTCTTTAATACCAAAATAAGTGAGGTAAATCACACTTTCTGGTTTTGGGCCTCTTTTATTTCCTCTGTAAAATACAACTGTTATTGTTGATTTGTATAACTTCTCAGAAACAAGAATAAAGTTGTTCTCTGCTATTATGCATCTGACATACCACCTACACTCACTGTGATGCGTTGCTACCATTACTGATTGAACTCACATAATGTAGACATTACTTGAGAGTTTATGTCAGTAATGTGGTACCTTCCACTTGCATTGAAGGCGAAAAGCACTTAAAAATTTGTTCAATATCAATTAATCACTGAGGAGACAGCAAGGAAAGTGGGTGACACTAATGAATTTATCATCCAGAAAACACTGAAGGTTAGAAAGAGGATGCTTGTTTAACTAGTTCACTAGTTAAGTCATTAGTGTACAACCTAATGAAATTGTAGGACTATCTCAATCATGTGGAGACTGCAATAGTTTGGGGCAGGTCTCATCCCTTTATACTCTGTACAGTAATGCATCTTGAAACTAATGAAGTGTTATGTCTTTATGAGACTTGTCATGGACAATAAGGCTAATTGGAAAAGGGGGTTTTAATATAACGACTTTACCTTCATGTCAGTAAACTATGAAGGATAATTAGAAAACTTGATGAGATTGCTTTGTTCAGCAAACTTTCTTACTTTTTTATCTTAATATCTAATAAAGTTCTTAGTGGTGATGCTTAATACATTAGATTTAAATTTTTTATATATTACAAATCTTTGTATTTTTTTCTATAAGAACTTCAGGGAAGTTCTTCCCCCTACTGAGTACTTTAATTCTTTGATCAGATGAGAATAAAGAGCAAAAAAATTTTTATGTTAGTTGATATGGTTTGAAGCTGGCTCCCTGCTAAGTCTCCAAACCCTACCACAAGAAGTCCCCCTGCCCCAAACCTCAGGGAGAAGAGGGAAAAAAACCCAAGAGAACCAAAATGAGAGAGAAACAGCTAAAGCAATATATATAAATATATTTACATTTATATTACAGTTATGTACAATTGAAATATATATACAATTTCACAAGGAAAAGGGAAAGGGAAGGGGCAAGGGAAAAAAAAGGAACAAAACCAAAATTAAATATATATATATCCCCATCAATAGCCCAAGATATAGCAACAAAAAGAATTAGCAAAGAATATCTTACTACTCTCCTTGGGACAACGGAGAGTCACGCTGGAGCGACTGCCGGCAATCTCCACCTCTCAAGGTCGACAAGGCCTTACCAGGCCTCACCAGGCCTCACTCTCCAACCCAACAGACTCAACAGCAGGGAACCTGCACCTCCAAAGCCGCTGGAAGGAAAGAGAGTGAAGGCCTTTCCTCCTTTCTTCTTATAGTCTGGCTTACATAAAAATTGTAGGGAATACTGGCTAAATCTGGGCACTTCCTTGGTTACAAACTGGTCACCAAGGAAGGCCTAGACCAAACTACCACATAGTCCAGTCAAATAAAATACCATTGCTGGGGCTAAAATATATAGGTAGTTTATGCAAATAAGTCTGAACTATCTACTGTATCCTGTCAAAGTAGCAAAAAATGGTTTTGGTTTGTGATACCTGAGAGGTGCAATTGGACTGTTGCACATAGAACTAGTTTTTAATTATAATGGTTGTTTCTGCTCCCGATTCCTTATTTTGCTCTAGGGAAAATGTAAGGCAGTTTTTCTGAAGTCCTTATACACTATACAGTATATCCAGCTGGCACTGGGACTCATTAGCTGTAAACCAGTTCTATACCAGTTGATGTTATTATTATAGCCTTATTGAGAGTGCGGATTTTTGATCACTACTTTTCTATTAAGCTCAACTGTCCATCACTATTTCTGTCACTTATTTAAAGGATTGAGAACTGTGTTTGGTCATGAACTTTGGCTATTATTGTTGAGATGTGACATAGGCCTTTCTTATTCTGCCTCTTGGAAGAGAATTAGATAAATAAGAAACATCTTCACCAAAAACCTTAAAATAAAAAGTGAAAATAAAGCTATCATTACATTGATATAGAAACTGCAAGCAAAGTACTCAGGAGAGACAAAAAATAAAACTACTGGCAACATTTTAGCTGCTCAAATCCAAACCATATAAGCCATAGCAAAGAGTGACTATGGTTTGCAGGAGACCTTTATAGATTTGCTAAGGTTCACTGACCTCAGGATATGGCAGAGATGGAAGAATGAAACAAACAAACAAACAAATAAACAAAAAATATATGATGGTAGCTATGATTACTAAAATAATGAAAAATTATCTGTACAAAGCAGTGTTCATTTATGGCTATTTGTCTTTCAATAGATGGCAAATAAAAGATATGATGGATAGTGAAGGGGGGAATGTGGATGTGTCATACAGTTTTGAGACAAGTTTTATATAGAGAAGAAGAAAGTGGTTTATTAGTCAAGTAATTACTCTGTGCAAGTCATTGTCACAAGGTATAATGGAGCTAAGTCTTACAGAAGGATTTGAAAAAGATCAGGTATTTCTGTGAATAATAAAACCTTCATCTTTTCGTCAGACAGATTGTATAATATACAAAAACCCTTATATCGCTGATGCTGTCCATGTTGGGCACATCAGATTAGTTTAGACTTTTCTAACTTAATATGGAATTTTCATTGTGCCTTTATGCAATCTGACTCATTTCAGTCTGACCTTGGTACTGTGGAAGGTCATGGAGCAGATCATCTTGAATGCCATCATGTGGCACATGCAGGACAACCAGCATGAGTTTATGAAAGGCAGGTCCTGCTTAACTGACCTGAACTCCTTCTATGACAGGGTGACCCACTTGGTGGATGAGGGAAAGACTGTGGGTGTTGTCTACCTAGGCTTTAGTAGAGACTTTGACACCATTTCCCACAGCATTCTCCAGGAGAAGCTGGCTTACCATGGAGTGGACAGGTGCACTGTTTTCTGGCTAAAGAAAACAGTATTGGGACCAACTGTTTAATATCCCTGTCAAGGATCTTGATGAGGGGATCAAGTGTATCCTCAGTGAGTTTGCAGATGACACCAAGTTGGGTGGGAGTATTGATCTGCTGTAGGGTAGGAAGATGGATCTGGACAGGCTCGATTGTTGAAATGAGGCCAGTGGTATGAGATGCAAAATTCCAAGTCCTGAACTTTGGTCACAACAACCCCCTGCAGTGCCACAGGCTGGGGGAAGAGTGCCTGGAAAGCTGCTCAGCAGAAAAGGATCTGAGTGTTCATTAACAGGGACTGAACACGAGCCAGCAGTGTGCTCAGTTTACCTCAAGTTGCACCAGGGGAGGTTTAGGTTGGTTATTAGGAAACCTTTCTTCACTGAAGGTTGTCAAGCCCTGGCACAGGCTGTTCAGGGCAGTGGTGGGATCACCATCCCTGGAGGGATTTAAAAGACATGTAGATGTGGCACTTGGGGACATGGTTTAGTGGTGGCCTCGGCAGTACTGGATTAATGATTGTACTCTGCAGTCTTAAATGTTTTTCCCAATCTAAAAAATTGTAGGATTCTATGATTCTATTTGTCACTGTTAACATGCATTAACCTGGGTTAATTTACTTCTGCCATGCTCTATTTTAGCCTCGTGATCATTTTGACAGTATCTAGCCTGTTCTCCTTTTTCAACTTGTTGGGTTTTAAGTTGCCAGGAGTTTTCAGCTTTTCTATGAATCAGTGTTCAGCTGTAGCTAAAGACATACATATCTATAAACTTCTGAACATCAGTATATTAGGATTTAAAAGATGTGACATACAACGTCTCCTTCCCCCTCTGTAACATTTTTGTTCCCTGATATTTCTTCCTCTTGTCTATTGATTCTTTTATTAGTGAATTATGGAAAATTGAATTTAAATGATTTGCCTGTGGTCCTGATGATCTGTGTCAGAGAAACACATGTGTTTCCACTGTTATAGTGAGAGGGGCTCCTGAAGGTTTCCTGGGAACACTGACAACTCTTGAATGAGAGGAACCCGAGATCGGTCTCCTCCACCTTCTAAAAGGACATCAAGCCTCAAGACGCTTAGGACCCTCTGTGCCATTGCTTCCTGCTTTGAATGAGAATGGTAAGTTGTTTTACTGTTCTTATAGGTGTTAAAAAAGATCCCTTTGCTCTACAAATAATTCAAACCATGGGTTTTTTTCCCTCTTGGCCCATGCAGCTGAAGGTCATAAACATGAAAGTGTTTTCTCTGCTATTCTTTTGCCCATATTTCTTATGTGCAATATTTGACAGAGTGTTTCAAGTGTAAAAATGAAATAAAATAAAACCACAGTTTCAAACTGCACATGACAAATTTGGGTTGAAATAATCAAAGCTTTCTGAAATCTATAAGCAAACTAGTGTTACAATGGAAAGTTTTGAATAAGCTTAATAAAAGCTGATGCCTGCAGCCCTGCCTAGAATAAGCACATAGAGAAGTTGCATTGAAAAAAACAGCATGTTAATAACCATGAAATTCTGTTTAGCTTTTAAAAGAACAAATCTCCATCTCTTAGTGTGGAACCCCCTGTTCAGGAAAAATTCCCATAACTTTCTCCTTGAGAGAGAGACATGTAGGAAGATATGGATGGAGGCAACAATAATAAATAGACTATAGAATGAGGGTCTGAACACAGATCTGTGGGGGAACACAGGAAAACTGTGAGGTTATTCAAGTTTTCAAATGTCAGTTGCCAGGTGATGGAGAGGTAAATTAAAAAGAGCATAATTTCATTTCTTTGGTTTATAAAAGAAGAATGCAATTCTTAAAATTACAGGGAATAGACAGTTAATAACAGGAAAGTTTCTTTCAGTTGCATTAACAGGGCACTGGTTCCTCTATTCATGATTTTCTGGTGCTTTTCTCTAATGCTGTTAACTGTAGCTGCCTAATTGTTGTTCTCTTTCTTTTTTGACCAGAAGGGACTATTATTTGAGTGCAGAAAACTGCTTCCATCCTTTTACTAAGCTTTTAAATTTTTTCTTGTTTTCTTTCACTATGTTGACTGTATACTTTTCCTTGTCACTATCAATTATTGCTTCACTCAGTATTTCTGAGGGTTTTTTTAACCAGCCTTTTGAAGCAGCAAGGTTAAACATTAAAGCTGGCATAGCATATATAACCATGTCATGCTTGCTTCTTTACAGGAAGCTACGAAGGAGTCAGGAAGTCAAATCATATATATACAATACAAATGAGTTTTGCTCTGTGTGAGTCCTGCCCATTTAGTGACAGAAATTTGAAAGTTTTCAATATAATTTTTCATCAAAAATATGTATGAACATACATATGATACATTGTCTATGTATCTCCCAAACTGGTATCCTGCAGTTTAGACATTGTCTTGCAAACAAATTTGTCTTCATGTCTTTGAAACATCTCGTCCTGGCTTTGTTTGTTAGAAGACAGAACTATCAACATTCAAAATCATGTAGTATCAAGTTTCTGAGAACTCCAAAACAAGAAATACTGATAGTAGCATTTTTGTCTCTTCTTATGACAATTCTATCCTTCTTAAATAGAAATTCCCACCTAACTTTTCAACTAAAAAGTCCACTAGGTTTTTGTGTGACTATTCTATCAAACACAACAGCAACAATTTCCTGTTCTTCTGCCCTGTGCTGCATTACTCTTTGCACAGTTCTTTTTTGGTTTTGTGTTATCATAAGTTTGAGTTGGAACAACACTTTGCTTGTGCCGGTTTGTTTGTTGTTTCAGTGTATTCCTGGCTGCTCAGGAAAACTGGACCCAGCTTTCTACCTGAGGCCTCCCCCAGTTCTGAATGAAGAGATGAATTGTGTTATGTGGCTTACTCCTGCTTATACTAATTTGTCTGGAATTTGGGGGGTTTCTGCCACAACCTGTCATTGTGTTTCATGGCAACTTGTGAGCAATAAAAATATCTTTGCCTATAAACCTGCAACCCAACTATTTCTGTGTTCTCCATTATTAGGAGAGCTGACTAGTTTTGCTTGAGAACAGTATCTGTATCTCAGACATGAAGAATTCAGCATTTTTTTCAATTCTCACTCCCAGTTCCACAGCATTACCTGGATTACTGCTTTCAGTTCTTCAGGCACTGTCCCCTCAATGGCATCTGCAAAATTGCAAAGCTCATAACAGCTCATTAATGGTAATATTGAATAGCAACAGACTCAATACTGGTCCTTCAGGAAAAACATTAAATTCATCCTTCAGTTTCAACACTGAAACATCATTTTCCGATCAGATTTCTGTATACTGGGCACTAAATTGCTCTCTTCTATTTTTTCTTCATCTCTTTTTATGAATTACTGTGGAAAACTATAGAAATTCTTGCTCTTAAAGCTGAGCTATGGAATGTGGGACATTTTTGACATGTCCTCTTACTCTGTAACAAATGAAATTAGGTTTGATTTGATATTATTTATTCTTATTCAGTTTATGGTTGTTAATCTTTTGATGACTTTCAGGTGAACATGATTATTTGGTTCACTCTTCCTTCCAGGAATTGATTTCCTCTAAACATTGAACTGACTAGGTTGTGGAGTCGCTTGCAGTGATTTTCAAATGGTGACACAATTAGTCACAGTTCTCACATTAACTCTGTTTCCTTTTCTAATCACTTTTTACTTAAGTACTTCATCTCTACCATAGTTTTTTCTTTTTCAGCATGGAGAGCAAAATGTACAGAGGGAGGACAAAGATTGCATGTCATCACTATAACTGAATGCTACTCTGGATGTGTCTACAGAGAGCTTCTCCCAGACTACTGGAGGAGGAAAGAGTATTTGTTTATGAATTGATTCCTTTTGAGCCACAAAGAAACTGTGGGTCTTACAGTAGCCTATGTGGGATCATCCAGACTTGGGGGAGCATTTGGCTCCTGTACAGGCTTTCATAGGAGGGCAGCACTGAAAGAAGCTGAGATGGTTCTCCCAACTCAGTCTGGGTTTCTCTTCTCTGGAACAGTCCTCAGGGATGAGGAAAGCTGACCTGCACCACAGCAGACATTAGTTTGAACTCCTCCCTAGAGAAAGGCTTTGGGGGAGTCAATTAGAGAACTAAGATGATCAAGTGATCTAGTATATAGATAGGACCTTCCTTGCATAGCACATGAGTGGTTTAAACTTCAAATTGAAATGGAAGTGGTGCATTTTCAACTATTCATCCCACAGAAAACAAGCTCAGAATAACAATATCGTAGTTATTTCTAATTTCCCAGTTGCTAACCTGCTCTCCTTTAGTAATGCTGTTAGCTGCGTCCAAGTTTCCATTTTCTTTCCTCAGGGTCTTGTCACTTGATTACAGTTCACCAGATGTCCCAGCTTTATTCTATCGTTTGCATTCCCTTTTCTGCTTGGATCCACACTGATTAGTCTTATGTAAACATCTAAGTCCAAAGTCATTGCACATAGACACCAAGCTATATTCCCACTGAAGTCAGCACCAGGCTATAATGACCTTTCAGAATCTCATTGTTTTGGTTTGTGATTAAATTATTCTTGCCATTTGATGGAGAAGCAGATGTGCAATTCAAATCCATACCATGAGTTTTTCCAGTCTACCATGAACATACTCTTCCACAGACTGTGAGAAATTTTAACTGAATAAATATCTGTGAGAGTGTCAAGTTGAGCCAGCAACTCAGCCCCACGCTGCTGCTCACTCACTGCCCCACCAGTGGGATCAAGGAGACAATTGGAAAAGTGAGAAAACTCGTGGGTTGAGATAAAGACAGTTAAATAAGGGAAGCAAAAGCAACACACACAAGCAAAGAAAAACAAGTAACACTTTCACTACTTGCCAAACAGTGGGGCAGACAGAGTTCAGCCATTCCCAGGAAAACAGGGCTCCATCATATGTGACGGTCACTTGAGTAGACAAACATCATCACTCAGAATGTCCCACCTGTTTCTCCTTCTCCCCCCTGCATTTTATATACTGAGCATGATGTCACATGGTATGGAGTATCCCTTTTGTCAGTTTGGGTCCTCTGTCCCAGCTGTGTCTCCTCCCAACTTCCTGTGCAGCCCCAGTCCCCTTGCCAACATGGCAGTACGAAAAGCTCTGCTCAGCAACAACAAAAACACCTCTATACTATCAATCCTGTGTTTAGCACAAATCCAAACACAGCCCCATACCAGCCACTGTGAAGAAAATTAACTCTACCCCGAGCAAAATCAGCACAAAGAGAAACCACTAATTGGTGATAGGAAAAAAAAAACAAAACATATAAAATTGTCCCCAGAAACTGCAGCAAAACTCAGTTTATTTCTCAGTTCTTTTTGAAGGACTTCTACCAAGCTCAAAATATTCTTTCCAGTGGGCTCTGGTCATATAAATGGAGATCCAGGACACTCATACATAGTTTTTCATAAGGAAAATATTTGGTCCTGGACTATGAATCAAAGGCTCTTGTGACAGACTCCTGTGCCTAACTCTGAATACCTACATCTACAGAAGTCTCCTAGGACCCCTTAATAGACAGTGCTAATGGTAATTGGCACAGTCAATGGAGTTAAGAGGTCAACAATTTCATTCTAACGCAGGTGCCAGGAACTGGTAAAGTGAGTGGCTGTATTGACTAATTCTCCATTGTTATAAGGGGAGACTTAAACAATTAGTTCAGCTATAAACACCTACATGTTAAAGTTAGATGATAAAATATTAATTTCATCACAATTTCTGACACTTATTCGCATAGCTCAAGTACTTCTTTGCATTTTCTCTGGCCTTGTTATCAACCATCATCCTTCAATCCTATTATAACCTTGTTCCCACACTTTATCTCAATATTCCTTGACTAGTACATCTTCCTTCTGCCTCTTTCTTCCTCACATGATGTCCTGGTTTTCCTCCCAAAGGATCCATTCTCAATCTCCACGCTATCATCTGGATCACTGTTTGAAACTTTTCTTTTCATGGATCACCACTGTTCAGATTTGTTCATTCCATTTGCAATTTCTTGTCTCACATAGTCCTGATATCATACTGCTGGACTCTTAACTGTAATATTCCCATCTCAAACATGTTTCTCTTTCCTTCCCTCCAATCCATTCCCTTTTCTTCAGTCCTGGTCCATCCATTCTTTACCACAAAATCCCTGTTCTTAATTTTTCATTTGTCCACAACCATTTCTCCCCACTGTCACATTTCTTATCATTCTTTCATTCCCACCTCACAGGTTTACAATCTCTGTTTTACATACCCATTTCAGGTACCCATCATGGTTTTCCTTCTCCTCCTCCCATCTGTCTTCTGCATTATTCTGTCCTATTTTATGCCCTTAGCATTCAAATAACCTCCTTCCAGCTTGGTCTGTCATTCCCTATGGACATCCCCAATCACACATAAAACTTTACTTTCCCCTTTATAAAAATAAAGCACTTTATTCTTCTGGATGCTCTCTGGACCAACTTGTTTTGGGAATAGGCTGGTAGGAGGAACAGTGCCTGGCTCTCAGTCTGGGTAACTGTGAGTTACCCAGTGCCTGTAGCACTCACAGGAGACCCCAGAAACATAACTATAGTGTTCCACCATTCCCAGTACTGGAGATCTCAGGCAACATCTTCAGGACATTTAATGATTAAATAAGCATCCACCACAAATATGCAAATCATTATTATTTTCTTTAAGGCTTTAAATCTAAGCACTTCTTTACAGTTTTGTTTACAGTTTTGTTATGTGAAGAGAAGCAGCATCCATCTGAAACAAAGGCTGCTCTCTTCCCTCTGTCAATTTTTAACCTGCACTCCAGACTTTAGAAAAGTTAGAGACAGTTTTAACATAGTGCTTTGAAGGCTTTTCTTTACCTCGAGAGCATTGTTTAACAGCAGGCACTCCTATCAGCCTCACCTATATGATGGCTCGCTGCCCAGAGAAACTGCCAGGGAGCCGAGCCCATGGAGACAAAGGCACACGACAAACCCCAACAGAGCTCCAGAGCTGCTGGAAGAGGAGAATCTGATCTATTGACTTGTTCCCAAAATAGCACCCAGTGGGAGGTGACTGACTGGCTAATACCTGTGGTGTTTCCATTACTGAATGAGATGAAGTCTGTTGCCAGGAATCCTGGGGCGGTTTCCTTGACAACCAGAAGAAATGCACAACTGCGATGCACATGACTTTTCAGGTGCTTTTTTAACTCCCCTGAAACAATGAGCTGCCCTACCAGAACTGTACCTCAGATAAATAAAACCTAAGTCTACAGCCAAATGGTGAACAGAGTTTATGTTCAAGGACAAATTTGAGCTCAGCCTGAAATCTGCCATGAAACAAACGCATAAGAGAGCAAGAAGGCTGGAAGCATTTCTACTGTTCAAGATGGCAGAAAGTTTGATACTTCATCATTTTATAACCTTTAGATGAGAAATTTCAACAGATTGAAAATATTTTCATGAGATATCTAAATAAATTTGAATTTGTCAATTTGAATGTCCCTATTAAATCCAAACCCCTCAAATTTCAAAGTTGATTGCAGATAATACATTGTTCCTCAGAAGCACTATGGGCATTTACTGAAATCAGAACATGTTTTGAAATTATTTTAACAAGACAGTACAAATTTTAAGCCAAGAGTAAAAGGCGTAACAGTATTTCGTTACTCATTGTTTGTAAGCAGAGATTGCGACAAATTTTCTATGGACAGTAAATTCACTGAAAAATTCACATTTTCATGAATTCAGATTCTACTGAGAAGTAGATTAAAGCCCAACTACAACCACTCTGATTCAATGAAGAATTCCATTACAAATTATCAAAATATATTAAATAGTAATTTTAAAAGGAGCTTCCAGTGCCACGCGGCCCGGACCCTCCGCTGCCGGGAGCTTTCCCGCGCCTCGGGGGCGGGGCCCGTGGCTGTGGGGAGCTTCCAGTGCCACGCAGCCCGGACCCTCCACTGCCGGGAGCTTTCCCGCGCGTGTTTGAGCCCCTGGGTGCAGCCGTGGCAGGAGAAAGGAGAGAGAAGGGGAGCCTTGCCGGCAGGTACTGCACCCCCATGAAAGTGAAAGAGAAGAGGGAAGCTTCAGAGCACACAGAGGTTTGCCGTTCCAGGGTTGGGGGGAGAAGGGGGGAGGGGACGGGAGGATTAGGGTAGGGTGTCGAGCGGGCCAAGTGGGTCCGCCTACCGGCAGGAGGGAGAGCAGGACAACCCTGTATGAAATGTCACAGGTGAGCAGTGTGCCTGAAGATATGTGGAAACACAGTGGGGGAAGGACAAGGTCAGGGTGGATAGTGGGTTCTTTTAGAATAATGAGGGTCCCGGCCATGCTGGGGCCATGAAAGGCACCCCCACCTTGGTTGGGTACTGGGGTCAGAACAATTGCTTTGTTTGTCTGACTGTTTTTGGTTCACCTGTGGCTACTGCCCAGGCTCGGCATGTTCTGGATATATTTGCTTTGCTCTGTTACATCCTGAAACGGTGGACAGGACAAAGAGTTGTTCCTGGGTATCTCCTTCAGATTGTTTATAGATAGGTGATAATAAAGTAGGAAATGAAAGACTTGCCTAAATCGTTCTAATAAGAACGTAGTCTGTGTACCCCTATGTGGTTGCGAGCTATATGTTACACGCCTCCAGTAGGGTCACCCATGCCAGATAGATCAAAACCGTAGGACCAGATTTAATACATTCTTAGGCAGGATGAGCTCATTAGCCTTCAGGCAGTCATCCTAGGAGAAGGACAACTCCAATCCCAAACCCGGGCAGATGGAGCTCGCTTAGCCCTGTAAGGCCATCCATCTAAGAGAAGGTCACTCTAATCAAACCTACGTCCTGAGGACCTCACTGCCACCGTCCAAGCTTGCTCGGCCCTGGCAGATGAACCTTAGGATTAAAGGGTGGGTTCAGTTCTGCGCATACTGCATCTCACCTAAAAAATCCATTGCGCAGGCTTGAAGGCTTTACCCACATGCAAAAAGCCCTGTAGCGACGGGCAAGGGTCGAAACGGCAGGTGAAAGGTGCACTGGAAGCCGCAGACCCAACCCTGCATGCAGGCGATTCAGGATATTGGTCATTTGAGACTGACCGGAGATGACAGTCTCTTGGGGCAGCACCCTGAACGACCAAGCAGCCTTTTCAAGGACAGCACTGCTTGCTCCACTCAGAGAGGGGCCTAGAAAAGGTGACCTAAACAAATCTCATCTCCACTTTCACCCAGTCGGTTAACCGCAGGCCAACGGGCATCTTCTTCCAATGAGGTCACACAAAGATCAAAAGACAAAGGCATGAACCTGCCTCCAAAGGTGTACCTAAATTAACTCTAGCATGCTGGAACATCAGAACCATGCTTGATTCTGCGGATAGCGGACGTCCTGAGCGACGTTCTGCCCTAATTGCCCATGAGCTGGCTCGTCTCAACATCGACGTAGCTGCTCTCAGTGAAGTTCGCCTTCACGAGGAAGGCAGCCTCACAGAACATGGTGCCGGTTACATACTCTTTTGGTCAGGTAAACCCAGAACCAAAAAACATCTCTCAGGTGTCGGCTTCATGATCAAAAATATTCTTCCTAAACTCGAAAATCTGCCGACAGGTCACTCTGACCGCATTATCTCCCTACGCCTTCCTCTCCACAACAACCAACACGTTGTCCTCTTTAGTATATATGCCCCAACTCTCCAAGCTGACCCTGCCGAAAAAGATAAATTTTACGCTGACCTGCGCCGCCTTACCCAAAAGGTTCCTGCAGATGATAAGATCATTATCCTTGGTGATTTCAACGCCAGAGTAGGAAAGAATTTTGATGCCTGAAAGGAATATTAGGCAAGCATGGTGTTGGAAACTGCAACGATAATGGTCGACTCCTGCTAGAATTCTGTGCAGAGCAACAGCTCACCATCACTAATACTATCTTTCAGCAGAAAGATAGTCTGAAGACAACCTGGATGCACCCCAGATCTAAGCATTGGCACCTCATCAATTATGTCCTGGTGCAACGGAGAGATGTTCACGATGTCCTCCATACCTGCGTGATGCCCAGTGCAGAATGCCAAACAGACCATCGGCTTGTGCACTGTAAACTCAACTTCAATCTCAAATTCAAACCTAAAGGGGGCAATGTCCCAAGGAGAAGACTCCGAGTAAACAAACTCCAATCAGCCACAGTTAGAGACAGATTCTAGGCAAACCTTCAAACAAGGCTTGAAAACCATTCCACAGATTCTGCAGATTCCTCTCCTGAAACAATTTGGCACCATATTAAAAACAGCATCCTGCAATCCTCCGAAGAATCCTTAGGGTTCTCCCTCAAGAAGAACAAGGACTGGTTTGACAAAAACAATCAAGAAATCCAGGACTTGTTGAGGAAGAAGAGAACCACCCACCAAGCACACCTTGCACTCCCATCCTGTCACTCAAGAAAAACAGCCTTATGTCTCTCATACAGCAAGCTCCAGCAGAAACTCCATGACATCCAGAACAAGTGGTGGATCGATCTAGCTGAAAAAACTCAACTATGCGCAGATACGGGTGATCACAAAGGTTTCTATGAGGCCCTGAAAACAGCATATGGGCCTACATACCAAGTCCAAAGCCCTCTACTCTGCGCTGATGGGCAAACGCTTCTAACAGATAAAACCTCCATTCTGAATCGATGGTCTGAACACTTTCAGACTCTTTACAGTACCAACCGTGTAGTCCAAGACTCAGCAATTCAGTCCATCACACAACAACCAGTAAAGTATGAATTAGATACTGCCCCCACTTTAGGAGAAACCCTCAAGGCCATACATCAGGTGAAAATCGGCAAGGCAGCTGGGATTGATGGAATTCCACCGGAAGTCTGGAAACATGGGGGCCTTGCACTCCACACCAAATTTCACGAGTTTGTGGTGCGCTGTTGGGAACTTGGCGACCTACTATCTGACCTTCATGATGCAGTCATCATCACCTTGTATAAGAAGAAAGGAATTAAATCATATTGCTCAAACTATTGTGGTATTACTCTGCTCTCCATTGCTGGCAAAATCCTGGCAAGAATACTCTTGAACAGACTAATACCCACTATAGCAGAAGGAACCCTTCCTGAAAGCCAGTGTGGTTTCAGAGCCAACAGGAGCACCACAGACATGGTATTTGTTCTCAGACAACTGCAAGAGAAGTGTAGGGAACAGAACAAAGGTCTATATGTAACCTTTGTCGACCTCACCAAGGCTTTTGATACTGTGAGCAGAAAAGGTCTGTGGCAGATTTTGGAACGTTTAGGTTGTCCCCCCAAGTTCCTTAAAATGATCATCTCACTCCATGAGGATCAACACAGCCAAGTCAGATATGGCAACACACTTTCTGAGCCCTTTTTAATTAAGAATGGTGTGAAACAAGGCTGCGTTCTCGCTCCTACCCTATTCACAGTCTTTTTTAGCATGATGTTCCAAAGGGCCACGGCAGATCTCAATGATCAGGACAGTATCTACATTCGATATCGTACCGATGGAAGCCTATTCAATCTAAGGCGACTGAAGGTCCACACCAAGACCTTAAACCATCTTGTCCAGGAGCTGCTTTATGCTGATGATGCCGCCCTTGTTGCCCACATAGAAGCAGCCCTGCAGCATTTAACATCCTGCTTTGCAGATGCTGCTGAGCTCTTTGGGCTGGAAGTCAGCTTAAAGAAGACAGAGGTTCTCCATCAACCTGCACCTCAGGAAGTCCCCCATCATCCCCACATCACCGTTGGCCAATCAGAACTCAAATCAGTCCAGCAGTTTAATTAACTAGGCAACCTCATCTCCTCGGATGGTGAGATTGACGGAGAGATAGACAACAGGTTAGCAAAGGCATATAGTGCTTTTGGAAAACTCCACAAAAGAGTATGGAGTAATAAACACTTGAAGAAAAGCACAAAGATCAGTGTTTACAAAGCCACAGTGTTGTCTACTCTCTTATATGGTTCCGAATCATGGGTCATCTACCACCACCACCTGCATCTCCTAGAACGCTTCCATCAATGCTGCCTCCGTTCAATCTTAAACATCCACTGGTCAGATTATGTGACCAATACATCTGTTCTAGAGCAAGCAGCAGTCACTAGCACTGATGCCATGTTGATGAGAACACAGCTGCGCTTGGCAGGGCACGTCTCCAGGATGAAGGACCACTGCCTCCCGAAGATCTTGCTCTGTGGTGAACTTGCCACTGGCTGCCGCATGAGAGGAGCCCCGAA